CTAATAATATAAAAATAATATGATTATTTTTTATAAGTTATAATAAAAATATAAATGTTTTATAAATTTAAAATAAAAATTAGATATAAAAATAAAAATATAAATAAAAATAAAATAAATATATAATTTTTATTTATATACGTATATATATTTTTTATAGTATATAATGAATAAAATAATATTTAATATATAAATTGTATATTAAAAATTAATTTTTTTTATAATGAATATAAATAATTATGTTATATAAATATAATATATCTATTTTTAATTAAATATTTTTATTATCTAAAATATTTTAAAACATAAATATTTATAAATATATAAAAAAAAAAAAAATGAATAATTTTTCATTTATTATAAAAAATAAATTAGAATTATTTGATAATAATATAAAATATAAAAATATATTTATTAAATAAAAATATATATATATATATATATCTAAAAATAAAAATAAAAATAAAAATAAAAATATAAATAAAATAAAATAAAATTAAAATATAAATAATAATATAAATAAAATTTAAATAAAGATATAAATAAAAATAAAAATTAAAATAAAATATATATCTTTAATTAATTGAATTTTTTTCATTAATTTCATTAAATTAATAGAATAATTTAGAAAAATTTTATAACATAACAATTATATTTATTATTAATTTTTTTAAATTTTAATTATTATTTTTATTCATAATCTATACTTATTAAATATTTTATTTATTATTTAAAATATTTAAATATTTATTATTCTTTATTTTATTTTTAATATTTTTATTATATTTAATTAGAATTTTTTATTTTAAAGTATTTAGACATTTTAAAAATTAATAATTAAATTTATTATAAAATTTTATAATTTATATACAAATTTTAATTTTGATTTTTTTTTATAAAAATAAAAAATATTAATTTAAATATAATGGATTGTAAATTTTATTACTTTTTATATTGAATTTATTTTAAAAAAATATTAATTATTATAATTTAAAATAAATATATAAATTTAAAATCTGACATTAAACAAATAATGAATTTGTTTTATTATAAGATTTCAATATAATATTTAAATAATAAAATCACCTTATTTAATTTATTAAAAATTTAATAATAAATAAAAATAAAAAATAAAAATAGAAAAATTAAATAATATTAAAGCATAATATTTGAGGATATTATTTAAATAAAAAATTTATAAAAGTACTTATTTATTTGTTAAAAATGATAATAGAAAATAATATTATAAATATTTATTATTAAATATCAATAAAAATAATATATACATATTATAATAATTTATTAATAAAAGTGAAAAAGAAAATATAAGAAAACAATATAAAAGAAATAAATAAAAAATAAAAAGATATTTAAATTTAAAATAAATAAAAAAAAAAATTGATAAAGATGTATAATTATTTATAATAATATATATAATATATAAATACATTTTAATATTTTATATTATAAAAATATAATTTAAAATATAAATTATAATTAATTTTTATCATTTCTTTTTTATATATATAAAAAATAAATATAAAATATTGAATTTTTTTTTTTTTTATTATTATTTAAACTTAAAAATTATATAATTTATTTTTATATTTAATATTACAAAATTTAAATAAAAAAATTATATATTTTTATAATATATTACTTATTTTTATAAAATTAATATTAGTTATATTCTTATAAGAAAAAATTCTTATATAATAATAATTTTATATAATAATGACTAATTTTATTTATGAATATTAAAATTTTTATTAATAATATTAAAAAATTAAAAAGATTATTTTTTAATATGTATTTTTTATAAAATAAATTAAAGCATAAATTATTTTATTTATATAAAATGAATATATTTTAATATAAATTATTGTTTATAATAACTTAAAACATTTTTAATTATAATTTATTTTATAATAATTAATTTCTTATAAAATTAAATTTATAGATATTTTTTTTTTTAAATTTAATATTTTTTATTAATTATAAAATCAAAAAAATAGAAAATTTATATTTAATTAATCTATATTATTTTTGTTCATAACTTAAATACATTTTTATTTTATATCTTTCCGAAAAACAAAATAAAAATATAAAAAATAATTTTCATAAAAGCTAAAGTTTATATATTGATATAATATATAAATTAAATTTTAAAAATATAATATAAAAATAATGATATTATAATTGTTTTATTATATAATACAATGTTTTTATTAATTATAATCTATGTAAATATTATAGTAAATTATTATTTGTAAAATTTAATTTATTTATTTTCCACAAATTAAAATACAAAAATTAAAAAAATAAAAGAAGATTATTATATACATTTTATAAAAATAAAATAGAAAAAAAAAACATATATAAATATATATTTATATATTCTCATGAATTAATAAAAATATTAAAAAATACCTAATAATAAAAATAATACTAATTAAAATAATGTTCAAAAAACTAATTCTTATTAACTTATTAATATTCGTAATATTGACAGAATCAAGTCAATAATAAAATAATGGTGTTGTAAATGCTTCAACTGAATGTTAAGAAGGCTATTATTATGATTAAGATACTCGTGAGTGTGCTTCTTGCCAAACTAAATTCGGTAACTGTTTATAATGTACTCAAAATAGTTGCTCTTAATGTGTTACTGGATATTTAATACTTGATTCTGATACATAATGCATCAAAAGTACTTTAATAGATAAACATATTGGAGATCATTGTCATGAAGGATGTGATATATGTTACCTATCAGGAGAATGTATGGAATGTTTGGATGGTTATTATATAAATTTAGAAGAAAATGAAGACACAACTTGTGTTATTTGTACTAGTAAATTTGATAATTGTTAAAGATGTACTAAAAATAGTTGCACTAGATGTTAGGCTGGTTATTCAAAAAATAACTCTGATTAATGCTAAAAAGAATCTACTACAGATGATAATAGCGTACAATATGGAGAATCTTGCAGTTAAGGATGTGACATATGTTCTTAATCTGGAGAATGTTTATAATGTTCAGATGGCTTTTATGAAGATTCTAGTGTAAATGGAAATAAAGTATGTAATAGTTGTAGTAGTAAATTCAGTAATTGCTAAAGATGCACTTATAGTTTTTGCGAAAGATGTATTACTAGATATTCGTATGATAAACCTGAAAAAAATTGCAAAGAAGGCGATGGTACCAAAGGAAATTTAGCAACTTTTTGCTTTGATGGATGTTATTTATGTGATGAATCTGGAAAATGTAACGAATGTTGGGACGGTTATTATGATGATTAGGAAGATAATGAAAATTAACATTGTCTAAGTTGTAGTAGTAAATTCATTAATTGTGTAACATGTGATAAAAAAAATTGCACCTAATGTAAAGATGGATACTATTTTAATGAATCTCAATAATAATGCTTAATAAATCCGACTTCTTGATTTTTACATAGAGTTTAAGCCAATTATAAATGATTAAATATTTAATTTTGATATATGCTATTTTATATTAGAATCATTAATATTATGATTTTTAATAATAATATAATTATTGAAATTATATATAAAAATTTAAAATTTCTATTATTTTATTATATTTTTTTAACTTTAAAAAATTATATTTAATTATATTAATTATTATAATATAATATTTATAAAAAATATTTTTTTTAATTTTAAATGTTTGTTAAATAAAAAATATAAATATATTAAACATATCTTTTTAAAATTAAAATTTAATAAATTCAATATTATTTCATTTAAATTATAAGAAAAATAATATTTAATTAAATATAGTTTTTTAATAATTTCTATAAAAATTAAAATTATGCTAACAAATATTTATTAATTCTTAATTCTTTTTTATATAATTTTATTACTTTATATATAAAAATTTCAAAAATTATATGGTTAGTTTATCATATTAAAAATAAGACATTTTTAATTATTAATATATAAGTATTAAGAATATAAAAAAGGAGAATTATTGTAAAATAAAAAATATATATATATAATTAATTATATAAATATAAATATATATATATATATATATATATATTTTTTTTTCAATATATTTTACAATTTTTAATTATTAATATTTTTTTAATTTAAATGAAATATATATAATCACAATTTAAAACTAATTTTTAATCTTAAATAATTTTTTATTTATAAATAAAAAAATTTTGGAAATATATTAATTTGGTTATTTTGCATAAATGTTTAACATATTTATAAAAAAAAATATATTTAGTTTTTTTTTTATATTAAATAAATATCAATTTATTTAATATTATTTTAATAATATATTCAGCTTATATCAAGTATTTATAATATTTTAACGTCTAATTTATCAGCATTTATTCCTATACTTTACATATTAATTTTATATTTACCAAAAATAGCATATTCAATCATCTTTAAAAGTAAAAAATTGTACAAATATTCCTTTTTATTTTATTTTTCGTGCCTTCTTCTATTCTCAAAATTTAAGATTTCTTGTTTTTATTATAATAAATTTATTTATATTTAACCCTAAAATGCCTGCATAATAATCTATTTCATTAAGAATAATAGGTAAGCTGGCAATTAAAGCCAATTACTATTCGGTAAATTAAAAATCTATTCCATAATTAGACTAAATGTACATAAAAACAAAAGATAGAGACAAATAAACACGCTTTTTCAAATATTTTTGAAGTCATATAAATTTTTACATTTGACTTTTAATTAGTATCTAGAATTTTCAAAAAAATAAAATAAAAATTGATTTATTTTTTAATTTTTTTACATTACTTATTTCTAATATATATTAAAATAATATATAAAGATTAATATTATTTTAACTAAATATAAATTTTTAATTTATTTTCTTAAATTTCTTATATATTATTATTAAAGCTTTCCTTTAATGCTTCAGACAGATGCTTTTATTTTATATTTTTTTTTAAATTATTTCTATTATTATTCATCTAATTCTTTCCACACAAACAAGCAAAAATGCAAAAAAGAAAGAAACGAAAATAACAAAACTTTCTATTACATTATTATGAGTATCTTGTCTTTTTCCTGCAAATTGATTCTAACTAAAGCAGTTATCATTGCTTATATTAAAATGATGATAAATAAATCAATATTGCACTCTATATGAAAAAGTCTAACCATGGAGTAACTGTTATAGACGCTGTGGATATATTCGAGAGAATAAAATAGAATTTTTAGCGCTAATGTAATCATATCCACCAAATAATTGTGTTTATTATATCCCCGAAAAAAATCCCGGGGGGTAGTGCTAGTTAATATGACTTTCATTCACGAAAAAAATATTACTAGCTTCTATATTTAGAAATATTTTAGTTTTTAAATAAATAAAGTAATATAAAAATATAGTAAAGCCACTAATAAAATAAACATATTATTAGAATAAAAAATAAAAATATTATATATATAAATAGTTTAGATTTCCATTAAATATTTAAATGAGAGAAAAATAATTTTAAAATTTTTATAAAAAACAACTAAAACATATCCTAATTTTTAAGAAATACAAAAATAACTTTATTTTTACTTCTTCTTATTAAAATATTATTATAATTTTCTGTTTTTTTTTACTATTTTTTTATTATTTTCTCATAATAAAAAAATTAATGAATCAAAAATCAAAAATAAAATAAATAAAAATATATTAAAATATAAAATAATTTCACTTTTAAATATTAAAATAAATAAATAAAACTATTATATAAAGTTTTTTAAATAACAAAGCATTAAAATTTTATTTTTATTGATTTTATTGAAAAAAAATTAAAAATAAATACAAATTATAACAATAAAAATTTATTAAAATAATTGTAAATTTATATCTAAAAAAAATTAAAATAATAATATAGATGATTAAAAAAATATTAATAAATTATATTTGAATTAAGACTTAACATATAATTTATAAGATTATTAATCATAATTATATTTTTATATATTATTATATTTTATTTTTAATTAAAATTATTTAAATACTATAAAATATATTATTGAAAAAAAAAAAGATTTTTACTTTGAAAAATTTCATTAATATTTTTTTTATATATAAAATTATTCAAAAAATATAATTAAATATACAATATCTCATAATTAATTAAAAATTTTATTGATTAAATAAAATAATAAATAAATAAAAATAATTTTTTTAAATGATAAATATTTAATATAAAAAACATATAAATAATTTTTATATATTAATATAATATAATTTAATTTATTATTTGTTTTATTCTTTTTAAACTTAATGTTTTTGATTCTTATATAAATGTAAAAAATTAAAAAAATATTTAGTTAATTTAAATTAAATATGATTAATTATAAAAATATAATATGTGAAATTAAATTATACTTTTTATAAATCAATTTAACTATTAAATCTTTATAATATTTAAAATAATTACATTTATATAAAAATAAATATTTAATGATAAAAATAAATATATTTTATTTAAATTAAAATAAATGAAAAAAATAATTTAAAAAATAAATGTATATATTTAAAAAAGAAGAAACAATAATTATATATATATGAAAAAATCAATTAATAAAAAATATAATAATAATATATATAATAATAAATTAAATAAAAAAAATTAATCAAATTTATTATAAAATAAAATAATCAAAAAAAATTATAAATATATGGTAAATTTATTTTTATATTAATATTTTAAATGATATAAAATTTGGCAATATTTTAATAATAAAAAAATTATACTATTAAAAAATAATATAAATAAAAATTAAATATCTTTGAATAAATTAAAAATAAATGATTTTTAAATCATAAATATATAAATAGGTTAATAAAAAAAAAAAAAAATATTTAATATATGAATAATATATATATATATATATATATATATATATGTATATATATATATATATATACATATATATTCATATATTTATATATATATTATCTAAATAATTTTTTAAAGTTTATATGTTTATTCTTAATTTTTATTATTATTTACTTAATACAATATTTTAATATCAATTAACATTTCTAAATCTAATTTAAACATTTTAACTTTTACAGTTAATACTTTTTACAAAACTTATATATATAAATGTATATATATACAAAAAATATTTATAATTTTTTAAATTTTTATATTATAATCATTATTTTTAATTTTCTTTTATATATATATTTTTTTTTTATTTAAAACTTAAATTTTTATTTTTGAAAAATAAATTAAAAAATACAAAAAATGTAATAACTTAGAATTTAATAATTCTCATAAAATATGCAATCTTAACTCTATAAAATTTTAACAAAAGCATTAAATATAAACCCATAGCCTAATTTAAGATTTTTCAAAATAGCCCATATATCTATATTTTATAATTTAATTTTATAAAATATTTATATACTTTTATCATGAAATTCTTCTAGCCTTAACGATTGTAATATAATAATATCATATTAAATATATGAGATTTACAATAATATTTATTATATTATTTTATATTTTGGAATGATTGCTGTTTTTTTTTTATTTTAGGATAACTAAATTATCAAAAATAAAAAAAAGTTTTATAAATTAATAATGATAAAGCTAACAAGATTATAAAAATTTTAGGCATAAAGTAATAAAAAAATATAAAAAAAAAAATATAAAAGTAAATAAATATTTGTTACTTAAATTTTAAAGTTTAAAAAATAATAAAAATATAATATATAATTATAATAAATAAAAATTTAATATTTAAATAAATAATATTAAAAAATCTAAAATTTTAAATGAAATGATATTAAATTTCTTTTAAATGATAATTTAAAAAAGTTATTTAAAATAATTTATTATTATATAAATATTTATCTTAATAAAAAAAATATAAATATTTAAATTTTTCTTAATTTTAGATTTTTATTTTTTTATTTAAAAAAAATTCTCATTTTTTTATAAAAATACTAATATAATAATTAATATAGTTAAAAATATTATCAAAAGCAGCAATAACAAAAGATCGCATTATTTAATAGCTTAGCTATTTAATCATTAATAATTAGCTTAGACTTTATGTAAAAATCTATTTCCTGGAACAGTAAAGCATTATTTAACTTATTAATTCATATAATATCCATCTCTACATTAGGTGCAACTATTTATATCACATGCTACACAATTAAGGGATTTTCTTCTACAAGTAAAACAAGTTTTATTTTCTTTTTTATCTTCCCACATATCAAAATAACCATCCCAACATTCTTTACATTCTGCAGAATCATTAGATGAATAACATCCATCTATGTAAAAATTAAGAGAATTCTATTAAACATATTTTCTTTGTTTGCATTATTTATCAGAATTATCATATGAATACCCATCATTACATTTATCACAAAAACTAGGACTGCATCTTTAGCAATTACTGAATTTACTATTACAACT